ACGCGTCCTTGTGCACCATATAAGTTAATTATATTTAAAGTTATTTACTTTATAGTGCCCAGATCTCTCTCTAACTTTGTAAGTAGAGAACACGTGGCTAATCTTTAGACAATTATATTTCAAAAACAATTGGGCCTTCCAAAGAAGGCAATAATTATGCAATAATCTAGATTACTCATAATCTAGACTAAAGGTTGAGGTTTATCAAATCATTAGATCATTTTTGTTTTTTCTCTTCGGTCTTGGCAGGATCTGAAAGTATGTGCCAAATATGAAGAAGCCTCTGACAACATGAAAACATCGGTTTTAGATTAGCATCTCTATTACTTGATTCATTAGAACTTTTTAACTGAAACAAAGACAATCTTCTCAGGAATAGGATAACACTGTCTAGTTTTTCTGGGCTGTGAATAATTGTGGGACCAAGTTGATTGATCTGCCTAGAAAAATAAAAATATTTGCCATCATCCTAGCAACTTCCTACTTCTGTTGGAACTAGACCATGGATTATAAAAAGATAGTGTGGTTTCTTGCTATACAGATAGATTGCTGAGATTACTACCAGACGCCCATGACAAAAGAAATAATACCAAAAGAGAAATTCTGAGAAATGTTATTTAACTTAAATTTTAAATTAGATAAGCTCTGGATACCTAGAAGTAACAAAAATAAATGAAAGGAAAAGTTATGCCATTAGAGGGCACTTTTGTAATCTTAGAAGAAGTCAGTTCTTATAGACCGGCTTACCCAAGTCTTATTCTTAAGAGGAATGTATTTTTAGTTGTTTATTTAAAATGACTAATTCTTAAACTGAGTGTCTGAGAGAGAACATTTTACTGGTGGGGGAAAAAAATCTATAGAATCTTAATATCTAAGTAAACCTTTAAACCTGAATCATTGAATAGAAGTTGTAAAAATATGTACACTTTATCTGCATAATAGTTTTTTGATTAGGTATCTTCAGTGCTTCTGTTAAATACATTTTATTTAGAATAATTCTGCCTGTAACCTGATCAAATGATTAACTTTCCGTAATAACTGAGTATGCTTTTCCCCAACAGTAGATGAATGTTATTAGATAACATTTTGAAAAAGATAGTCCTGTAGAATATAAAGATCTGTGCTTTGCGACCATACTAATTTTTTCTAGTTTTATTGAAAAATAGTTGTTATATATTGCTATGTAAATTTAAGGTGCACACATGATAGTTCGATTTGTATATATTAATGAAATGATTACCACAATAGGGATAGCCAACATCCATCTTCTCATATAGATACAAAGTGGGAAAAAAAAAAAAGGAATAATAATTTTAAATATTTTTCCAAAAAGTGTCTGTTTTGCCCATAATGTATGGCAATTAAAATGGTTAAAATTGTTTCGGAAATAAAAAGTTGATGTGATAGAATTTTAGCTGGAGAAATAACGATTTTTTTTTAATAAAGAAAGCAAAAAGATAGGGTTGAGTCTCCTCCCTGTTGGTGGTAATATAAATAAAAACTTATATTATTAATATAGAATAAAGTAGATAAGCCAGTAAAATAATTTAGTAAGTAAAACATTGTGTCAAGAACTGTGAAGAGTTTGAGATTTTACTCTGCTTGTAAGCGAACAAGTTAGCCTGTCATACATAGTTTCATTGATGCTAGATGGCGTAAGACTCCTGGGTCAGAGACAAAAGCACTACTCAGAGCAACTCAGAGCCATCCATAGCAGAATCCACAGTATTATCATTTTCCCCCACTGACTCCCTGACCCCCAATTCCCACAAATGAAAAGCGGAACAGATAGAACCAGCCCCAAAATGGTTTTTTGGGTTTTTTTTTTTTACAAGAGGAGCCCTGAACTTGGGGAGCCCAGATCTTCCATGGTATAGTGATCATGCATGCTCTTGGCTCCAGAAACTTTATTTTCCAAGGCTTTTCATTACATAGGCATCCTTGAGAAGATAATGTAGAACAAAGGCAGTGAATTCCTCTGCTCCCAGATGGGCAAAAACAAGCACAGAGACCCATGGAGAATTATCTTTCAACACCTACTTTATAGAATCCCATCATCTGAAGCTGTTCACTATTATTTATTTATTTATTTATAAATTAAAAAATAGCTGATGTGGAGAATATACAATAATCTTATTTTCCATATTTAACTTGCTCATGAAAAATAGTTTGTATTTCTTGCATTGTGTTATATTCACTATGTGTTCTCACCTGTCCAAGCCTCAGTTTGATTATTTTTGAAATGAGAAAATCATAGTGCCTACATCATAGGGTTGTTGCTAGCATTATATGAGATAATATATATCAAGCACTTAGAAGAGTGCAGCATTTACAAAATAAAACTTATTAATACTGTTTTTAACTCAAAATTCATTTCTTATCACTTGCTGATTTAATAAAGAGAAAGTCCTTCCCATGGATGGCTGGAAAAGAGGAAGCTGGAAAGATCCCCACCGATCATAACTAGCTACCTCCCTAACTCTAGAGCTGACCTAAATATCCCAAATATCCTGGGGCATTGGTCAGCGTACCCTGCTTGGTCATCCCGTGGTACCATGCAGCTGACCACTTTCTGGGCAAACATAGAGTCTAATGAGGTAAAGCTGCCTGAGTGTGGTTCTAGGGAAAATACATCTGACTATATCATACCCATACCCAAGTGCCGCCATCGCATATTTGGTCTAAGTTCCTAAGAAGCATGGAAGGGCTAATTCTAACCATTTCTAAAGAGACAGATTTTACCGTCTGGCTTCTTCTGCTCTTAGGAGGTAAATTTTGGGGATGCTGCTACAGAGTTAACTGGATATATTCCATTACGCTGAAATAATAATTATTTCTTAACAGGGACACCTGAGCAAATTCTAGCATATCAGATTACTCACTTCTGTTAGCAACAGGAGGAAGGGCATCAGAGGGGAGGGATTAAGGGTTGTGAGTAGAGGTCTCATTCCATTTAGTTAACCATGTCCGCGTTTGTTTCAAAGGGGTTCGCTGAGTTTTGATTTTGATCCATCTTGCCATCTTTCATAGTTATAAGTTTCATCTGCTATTAGTAACTCACATGAGCTCCTGCTTTCCATGCCCAACTTTGCTTGGATTCTATTCTGACTATTATCTGGATATCTGAGGTTCAGATTACTTAATGAAACTGAAAAAGGCCTGGTCTCATTCCTCAACTGCTAGCTGGTTGGGAGGAGGAATTGAGGATTCAGTCTCAGAATCATCATTTGTTTTTAGAGATTATCACCTTAACCCTTGAGAAAACTGAGGTCCACCTGGACTGGTTAAGTGCATTGCCTTAGATACAGATCTAGTTTGTGCTGCAACTAAAAAAGTCAGATTTCTTAGTTCTCAGTCAAGTTTACACTCAATTACAATGCAATTGAGAATTAGAGCCTCCTGTAAGAAATTACGATGGCTTTCTTGAGAGATAATACAGAGGACAAATGTTTGGCCTCTGCAGTCAGATCCACCTGGATTTATAACCTTTCTCTGCTTATGTAAAAGGAGGTTTACTCTTCCATGAGAATAGTACCTACTTCACAAAGGTTTTTGTGAAGTTTAAATGCAATAATGCAGCTGGTGAATTTAACCCCTCATTTTGCATGTAGTAACTCTCAATTACTGCAGATATCTTATATGGAAAACTGCAAAACACATGGCAAAAAAAAAAAAACACCTTTTTGAAAAAGGAATTTATGTTTACTTTTTGGGTAAGCTCAGTTTGAGAAAATTACTTCTCACATTATCATAAAAAAGAAAGGTTTATTCCCTTCAAAAATATTTTTAGTTGTATGAATCTACTTTTGATAGCGCTCTAAGAAAGATAAAATCAAAGTCAAATGATGGCTTAAGTAGAGGTGATCTCAGAGCTGTAGTAATGACTCTTTAGAAATAAAACTGGCTTTCACTTCATTTCAAATTATTGCAGATATTTTCATTCGACTTTCTCACTCTTTAAAGTACTTAAGTATAAACACACTGTTCCCTTAATGCTTGAAATCCCTGATGTACGTTGCCAGAGAGATAAGGGAAAACCCTCAGAGGAAGCAAGACCTTTCACCAGTACTTGATATCAAAAGAACTTGCCTACCTGAGGCTTCCTGTTAGGGACACTGAGTCATGTAGAAGATGGTGTCCTTGACAATATTCCCACAGCAACGTGCAGTAGAGAGTGATACATAATTATCTATAGGATCTTTGATGAAAGTCAGTTTGAATGCCAAAATGTAATTCAATGAAAATACTCTGCTGGAGTAGTAAATACATATCTGTGGTGGAGGTTAAGACAAATAACCTAATTCTACAACTTTCCAATGGTCTCACTTGATCCGAGAGTGGGAATCCAAGCCCACTTCTAATATGACTAAGGTTTACATTTAAGTGTTGTGTTGAAGAGTCTAATAATGAATGATAACTAGATATAAACAAATAATCTATCCTGTGATTTTGGACAAATTACTTAACCTATAACAAAATTAACTTTATCATCTCTAAAACCTTCTAATTTATGAAAATCTGATCTTGGAAACAAAAATAATACTATACATGTATAATCCTTAGTCAAGTCTCAAGGAAGCATAAAAGTAATTGTGCAATGGTAATTTTCTGGCTCTCAGTGAGTCTGTGTGTCTCTTTATGCTATGGTTCAATTTTTGAGACATTTGTATACACATTTCTACAAGAACCATATTGGCTTCTGCCATATTGAAGTGGGGATTTTCTCTCTGAATATCCGGAGAAGTTAAAACACCAAGAGTCCATTCATTTCAAAATCTTTTTAATATCTGAAATGTTAGTGAATTTGTTATCATCATGAAATACTTTGGGAACAAAACAAAACAGGAAATTTGTCTTCAAGATCATGTATGTATCCAAAATACATACTACAACTCTAACTTTCTGTCAAAGCTAAAATATTCTTAACCCTCTAGAAAGTCTGCAACTTCCCAAGTGTCTACCTGCAGAACTAATGTAAGCAATCATTTCTGTTGCCCCAGGATGGTGCCTCTCCACTGGTGTCTGCTGTGGCTGTTATTACCTCTCAGCTCAAGGACTCAGAAGTTACCCACTCGAGATGAGGAACTTTTTCAGATGCAGATCCGGGACAAGGCATTTTTTCATGATTCATCAGTAATTCCAGATGGAGCTGAAATTAGCAGTTACCTCTTTAGAGACACACCCAAAAGGTATTCTCTCTGCAGTGCTTTCCTTATCAATAAATTCATAAAGAATGCTAAAAATCAAAGTAAACATTTGGACTTAGATTAGATAATTTGCAACCAATATCTGAATAGTATTGCTTATTTTCCTCTAAGAAAAGAAAATGACAATGCAACTGCTAATCATTAAGTAGAGGTTGTTTGATCCTTGCTGTTTGTGATCTCTTTTGGGATGGAGAGAGCAGTTTTTGCAGTTCTTACGTCTTAGAATGGTTATTTTCTTATCTTTGGGATAGCAGGAAATTTCTAAGAAGGATTCTGTAGGATTAAGATGAAATTAATCAAGAACAGGGTTCAAAACAGGGGCATATGAAGACCCTGAGCTCACCTCTGCCCATTGACACAGCAAAACTACAGCTCCATATAGAACAGTTCTCTCTGAAGTAGACATGAAAACTAAACAGTTTCTCCACACAAAGGATAAAAAGGCCACATAGAGATGGATAGGAGAGGCAGAGGCATGATCTTGCCAAAAAAACCCTACATTTGGTGTGGCAATTCACAAACAGGAAGACTCTGACAAATACAGAGCACATCCCTGAGGAGAAAGGAGTTTGATCCCCACATCGGGCACCCCAACCCTTGGGACCTACACCAGAGAGACAAGCCCCCAAAACATCTGGCTTATGCCTGGGAGAACCAAAAGGCTATGAGAAAATAAGACTCCACTCTTTTTGTTCTAAAAGGTGTATTAATTATTTTAGAGAAAGCAAGAGAATGGGGGGGTGTGCAGAGGGAAAGAATCTCATGCAGACTCCTCATTGAGTGTGAGCCCAACACAGGACTCTGTCTCACAACCTGAGATCATGAACTGAGCCAAAACCAAGAGTTGGACACTCAACCAACTGAGCCACTCAGGTGCTCCTTAAGACTCTGCTCTTAAAGGGCATATGTACAGACTTCCTTACCCCAGGACCCAGTGCAAACACAAAAAGTTGAAAAATGCCTAGACTACATACAAAAGAGATTCATTGGCTAATCTTAAAGTGTCTGCTGGAAGGGCAGGGGTCTCTTAGAACTCTTTCAAGGCATGGAGGTGCTAGCAAGTATCATTTTTGCATTTTCCCTCTACCTTATTAGCACTGCTTGCCCACATCTAGGTTTTCCTATGGCCCACGCTGCTAAACCTGACAGATGGGCTTGCCCCAGCCTGGCACACCCCCACAGCCCAACCAAAGCCAGCATATATGCATAGGCCACACAAGGGATTCCTGGCTCTGATGACCAGGGTGGTTACATTTCTGAGCCCCCAGGATTGAAATAATTAGGGACACAGTTCTTGGCAGGCTATCCCCACCAGGATGCTGCAGAAACTAAGACTGAGACACCCCCAGGCTTCCTGTAATCAATCCTTCAAGACTGGGAGAGATAGTTCTTTCACCTAATGCATAGAAACCAACCTAGAGAGTTGAACAAAATGAAAACAAACAAACAAACAAAGGAATATATTCTAAATGAAGAACAAGATGAAACTCCATGATGAAATTCCAAGATGAAACTCCAGAACAAGATGAAACTATCCATGTTCAGGAAGCCTAGAGTTCAAAATAAGTTGAACCTAAAGAGATCCACACTAAGATATATTACATTAAAATGTCAAAATTCAAAGATAAATAGAAAATCTTAAAACCAAGAGGAAAACTTGTTACAAATAAGGGAACCTCCACAAGATGATCAGCAGATTTTTCAGCAGAAATTTTGCAGGCCAGAAAAGAGTGACATGATATATTCAAAGTGCTGAAAGCAAAAAAACCTCCAACCATGACTACTCACCTAGCAAGATTTTCAGAATTAAAGAAAGATAAAGAGTTTTCCAGACAAGCAAAAACTAAAGGAGTTCACCACCACTAAACCAGCCTTGTCAGAAATGTTAAAAAGATGTCTTAAGTTGAAAAGGGGACTAACCAATACCAAGAAAACATATGAAAGTAAAAATTTCCCTGGTAAAGGTAAATATATATTAAAGGTAGTGAACTAATCACTTAAAAGGTTAGCATGAAGATTAAAAGGCAAAAGTAGTAAAAAAATAACTAAAACTACAACAATTAGTTGGAGTACATACACAAAATGATGTAAAATGTGACACCAGAAGTATAAAATGTGGAACTAGGAAGTAAAAATGTAAGGTTTCAGAATGTGTTCATACTTAACTTGTTACCAAATTAAAATAGACTGGTATATATACATATAGGCTTATATTTGTAAGTCTCATGGTGACAACAAAGCAAAAACCTATGGCATATACAAAAAGATAATGAGAATGGAATCTAAACATAACACTAAAGAAAGCCATCAAACCACAAGGGAAGAAAGCAACAGAAAGAGAAAGAACAGAAGGGAACGATAAAATGATTAACAAAATGGCAGCAGCAGTATACACCTACCTATAATTTAAACATAAATGGACTAAATTCTCCAATCAAAAGGCATGGAGTGGCTGAATGGATTTAATTCCATATGCTCCCTGACAAGAGATTCACTCTAGATGTAAGGACACACACAGATTGAAAGTAAAAGGGCTGGGAAAAGATGTTCCATGCAAATAGAAACCAAAAATGTTGAGGTAGCTATTATATCAGACAAAATAGACTTTAAAACAAAAGACTATAATAAAAGACAAAGACGGGCATTACATAATGATTAGGGGTCAATCCAGCGAGAAGATATAACATTTGTAAATATATTTTTTTTAATTTTGTTAACATTTGTAGGTATTTATATACCCAATATAGATTAGGAGCACCTAAACATATAAACAAATATTAACAGACTTAAAGGGAGAAATTGAGAGCAATACAACTATAGAAGGGGAATTAGTACCCCATATTCATCAATGGGTGCTTCATCCAGACAGAATATTAGTATCAATGTGGAAACATAGCCTTAAGTGAAACATTAGCCCATTTACTAGATATATGCAGAACATGCCACCCATAAGCAGCAGAATATACATTTTTCTCAAGTGCACATAGAACATTCTCCAGGATCGATCATATGTTAGGACACAAAAATGTCTCAATAAATTTAAGAAGATTGAAATTACACCAAACATCTTTTAGAACATAATTGTATGAAACTAGAAATCAATCACAAATATGTGGAGATTTAAAAACATGCTACTAAACAACCAATAGGTCAATGAAAAAATTAAAAAAAAAAAAACCTTGAGACAAATGAAAGTGTGAAAGTCACACACCAAAATTTATGGGACACAGCAAAAGCAGTTGTAAGAGGGAAGTTTTTAGTGATATAGGACTGGCTCAAGAAATCAGAAAAATCTCAAATAATTAAAATTTTATACCTAAAGGAACTAGGAAAATAGGAATAAATGAGTCCCAAAGTTAAAAGAAGGAAGAAAATAATAAACATCAAAGTGGAAATAAATAAGATAGAGACTAAAGAGACAATAGGAAAAAAAATCAATGAAACTAAGAACTTCTTCTTTGAAAAAATAAACAGAACTGATAAACTTTTAGCTCCACTCACTAAGAAAAAAAGAGAAGACTAGGGGCGCCTGGGTGGCTCAGTGGGTTGGGCACTGCCTTCAGCTCGGGTCGTGATCTTGGGGTCCTGGGATCGAGTCCCGCATCGGGCTCTCTGCTCGGCGGGGAGCCTGCTTCCTCCTCTCTCCCTCTCTCTGCCTACTTGTGATCTCTCTCTGTCAAATACATAAATAAAATCTTAAAAAAAAAAAGAAAAAAAGAGAAGACTCAAAATCAGGAATAAATGAGAGTAAGTTATAATTGATACCAAAAAGATACAAAGGACCTACTATGAGATTAATATGAAGAACTATATGCCAGTAAATTGGACAAACCAGGAAAAAAGTGGATAAATCCCCAGAAACATATACTCTTTAAGACTGAATCATGAGGAAATAGAAATAGAAAATATGAATAAACCAATTACTAACAAGAAGATTGCTAGTCCCAACAAACAAAAGTGCAGGACCAGGTGGCTTCACTAGTGAATTCTACTAAATATTCAAAGAAGATCTAATATCTATCCTCCTCAAAATATTTCAGAAAATTGTGGCCTCATTTTATGAGCCCAACACTACACTGACACTGAAACTAGATATAATGACACCACAAACAAACAAAAATTACAGGCCAATATCCCTAATGAGCATAGATGCAAAACCCCTCAACAAAATATTAGCAGACCAAATTCAAATAATACATTAAAAAGATCATACACCACCATCAAGTTGGATTTATTCCAGGGATGCAAGATGATTCAAGATCCACGAATCAATAACTGTGATACCACATTAACCAAATGAAGGATAAAAATCATACAATCATCTCAATAGATGCAGAAAAAGCATTTAAACTCAACATCTATTTATGATAAAAACTTTCCACAAAGCAGGTATAGAGGGAATGTATCCCCACGTGATAAAGGCCATATATGACAAGCCTATAGCTAATTTGACATTCAATGGTGAAAAGAAGAAAGCTTATCCTCTAGGATCAAGGACAAGACAAGGATACCCACACTTGCCACTGATAAGTGTCATGGTATTGGGAGTCCTAGCCCAACCAGTTTAGAAAGAAAATGATATAAAAGGTGTTCAAATTGGAAAGATAGAAGTAAAACTGTCACTGTTTTCAGGCAACATGATTTTATATATAGAAAACCCTGAAGCTCCCACCAAAAAACTGATGTAACTAATAAAAAAATTTATTAAATTTGCAGGATACAGAAATCAATATACAAAAATCTATTGTTTTTTTTAACACACCAATAATAAACTACCAGAAAGAAATTAATGAAAACAATCCTGTTTACAGTTGCATCAAAAAGAACAGAATACCTAGGAATAAATTTAATAACTAAGGAGGTAGAAGACCTGTATACTGAAAACTGACATTGATGAAAGAAAGTGAAGAAGACACAAATAAATGGAAAGATACTCTGTGTTCATGAATTGGAAGAATTAATATTGTCAAAATGTCCGTACTACCCAAAGCAAACTATAGATTCCGTGAAATCCCTATCAAAACTCCAATGACGTTTTTCACAGAATTAGAACAAATAATTCTAAAATTTGTCTGGAAGCACAAAATCCCTGAAAACCAAAGCAATCTTGAGAAAGAAGGACAAAGCTAGAGATACTATGTTTCCTGATTTCGAACTGTACTACAAAGGTATAGTAATCAAAACAGTATGGTATTGGCATAAAGGCAGATACATGGATCCATGGAGCAGAAAAGACAGCCTGGAAATAAACCATGAACACATGGTCAATTAATTCATGACAAAGGAGCCAAGAATATACAATGGGAAAAGGACAGTTTGTTTAAAACAATGTTGTTGGGAAAACTGGACAGCCATGTGCCCAAGAATGAAACCAGACCACTAAACCAAACACAGGCAGTAAGCTCCTTGATATTGGTCTTAGCAGTGTTCTGGGTTCTTTTTTTTTTTTTCTCAGTTTGTTTGGATGGGAGGGTTGGTTGGTTGGTTGGTTTTGAATCGGTCTCCAAAGGCAAGGGCAACAAAAGCAAAAATAAACAAGTGGGACTACATCAAGCCAAAAAGTTTTGCATAGTGAAGGAAATCATTAACAAAATAAAATGCAACCTACTGAATGGGAGAAGATATTTGCAAATCATACATCTAATAAGGGGTTAAAATCCAAATTAAATAAAGAATACATACAACTTAAAAACACAACTAACTTGCTTTAAAAATGGGCAGAGGATATGAATAGACCTTTTCCAAGGAAGACATACATATGGCCAAGAGGTACATGAAAAGATGCTCAACATCACTCATCATCAGGCAAATGCAAAGCAAAACCATAATGAGATGCCACCTCACACCCTTCGGAATGACTATTATCAAAAAGACAGGAGATAACAAATATTGGCAAGAATGTGGAGAAACAGGAATCCTCGTGCAGTGTTGATGGAAAAGCAAATTGGTACAACCATTATGGAAAACAGTAATAGGTCCCTCAAATATCTATAAATAGAACTATCATATGATCCAGCAATTCCACTTCTGAGTATCAATCCAAAGAAAATGAGGGGATGTAATGTACAGCATGGTGACTACAGTCAGTAATATTATATTGCATATTATGTAACTTTTTATAGTTACAAGGGGGAAGTAGATTCACTGTGATGATCATTTCACAGTGTATACATAAATCATAACTTTGTTCATTTGAAATTAATATATTTCGGTTGTATCTCAATAAAAAAGAGCTTAAGTAGCTAAAAAATAGGAAATTAAATGAATACATGATTCCTCAAGGGTTTACATTGTATTATAAGGATAATTTTTCTGGGGTGCCTGAGTGGCTCAGTTGGTTAAGCATCGGACTCTTGATATCAGCTCAGATCTTGGTCTCAAGGTCATGGGCTCTAGCCCTGTACTGGACTTCATGCTGGGTGTGGAGCCTACTTAAATTAAAAAAAAAAAAAAAAGATAATATTTCTTTGAACAATATTCTTAGGTTCTGAGAATATTAAACCAAACTGTAGTAAAAACTACACAGTTCATTTACCTTTACTCCATCAGCAAATTGGGCTCACATAATGGTTCTAAATATTTGACCTTAAAAAATGATACATACTTGTTTATTCTTTCTTGACTTGACTTTTTTCTCCCCACAAATAATGATCAGGGGCTTTGATACCTACATTGGGATGAAATGTTACCTCACGTTGAGTTGAGAGTTACAGCAACAATAGAAACATCATTTCTAGGAGTGAAATATGCAGTGGGAGGCACCCATAGACATTGTTGATATTACAACTAATGGTGAAATTCCAGATAAAATTTAGCAGCAGCGGATAGCTTTTTTCATTGATTATTCTTATGTTTACACATAAATTCCAAAAGCTAAATGGTTCATGGAATGTTTATCCCTCAGCTTTGGCATTATAATTTGGGGCCATGTTTTCTTAGTTGTTCATTGCATTTCTGTCTGCCTCACCAGCCAGTAAATAATCTGGAGCACATAGATCATGCCCTATTATCTCTGATTGCTGTTCTCTTCCGAATTCTGGGTATGGTAGCCAACAAATGTTTGTCAAATTGTTAAAGTTTATTCAGATTATCTTTTATCCCTAATCGTAAGTGCTTCCATATGAAAACGTTGAGTTAGAGGGACTCCCTGCTGTTTTATATGTATAATGAGTACCTTGTGGAATGCAAGAATTGTTTTGTCATTGGTTGCCTGTGGCCTGTATGTAAGTTAGTAAGACACAGTTACTTTGGGAAATAAGCTACGTCCTTGTTTGAAAGGAGAACAGAAGGGAGTAGATGAACTGACACATTGATTTCTGCTTCAGCAGGTGGCTCTGCTACCAACATAAAAATGAAACCCTAAAAGTTTTGAACACTTTTTTATTTACATGATGCCAAACAAAATATTTTGTTGTACCTATTTCTTTGTAACAGAGCTGGGTTCAGTTGTGTGTGTATTGTTAATATATCCAATGCAGCCTGGCCAAAGGAACAAAATTCTACTCTCCAAAAGTATACTGAATTGGAAAATTAAGCCATCTGACATCTGTCTTGAAAGATGCATATGATACATATACCTTCCCACCCAGTAAATAGTACAGTTATTTTGTCTAGATGACATCTAACTTTATTATTTTCTGAACGAGTTGTTTTTACTTTTGTAGAGTCTTGTCCTTCTACTGCCTGACCCCCACCCTTCTTCTTTTAATTCATATTTGAATGTTGAGGGGAGAAACTACTGATAGTGCCATTCAGATTTGGTGTCTTTAGATAGGAACAGACTTGAGGTGTAAGGCTCCTGGAGCTGGAACAATAGGGCTGGTGTTAGGATTCTTGGGTTCTATTCATTAATTTCGTAATTGATCATTCAAAAATATTTACCAAGTACTTACTACATGTAGAAATCAGTACTAAATGCTGGGACTACAATGACATGGCAAATGGACCCTAAGTGGGCCTTTGTTGAGAAAATGACAATCAAATAATACAAATATATAGTCACAAATTTCAATAAGCACCCCAGGTGAAAAGTACAGGACACTGAGAGTGCACAAGAACCTGACCCAGAATTAGGAGTCAGAAAAGGCAGCCCTGAATTCAGAGGTGACATGAGTAAGGGCAAAGGGGTGCATTTCAGGCATATGAAACAACATCCCAGAGGTTCCAACATAGGGCGGATTCTAGGAAACTAGGAGAGCCCCATGTGGTTCAAGCACAGAAGATGAAAGGCCAGTGAGGTAGGCAGGGGCCCCACCACTGAGGAAGTTTTAGACTCTGCAAACAATTAAGGACTTTTCCCCAAAAAGCTGAAGTCTAAATTTACTCATCAATTCATTCAACAAGTATTTATTGGGAATTATTTTAGTCTCTAAGTCTTCATCAATGAACCAAATGCCCATCCCTCTTACATCTTTCATTCTAGTTAGAGGAGATGGAAAAATAAAAAGGTAAACAAAGAAATATGTAATATGTCAGGTAGTGATAAGTGCTTTGAAGACAAATGAAGAAGTGTGAAAGAGAGCTTCATGGGTAGGAAGGTGGTATTTTCCATAAGGGGTCAGAGTAGGTCTGTTAAGTGAATAAAAAGAAAACCAGTGATTTTTCCAGTGACTTTTGATAAGTCCTAGAACCAATGATCTCAGTCTCAACTGGTCCACTTCCCCACAGGTATTTCTTTGTGGTTGAAGAAGACAATACTCCATTATCAGTCACAGTGACTCCCTGTGATGCACCTTTAGAATGGAAACTGAGTCTCCAAGAGCTGCCAGAAGACACAAGCGGGGAAGGCTCCGGTAAGCAGCATGTTAAGTCTGGCCCTGGACCCCTGAATGGATAACTAAAAGACCCATGACATAGACAGCCTTCTGTCTGTAAGAAAAAGCAGCGCGTATGCATAGGGGAAGACACTGGAGATTTTGCAGTGGGGATGGCACTGAATGACAGTGATCTTGACACTGTCAAAACCACTTGACAGTTAAGAGAGACAGACTCGGAGCCTGAAGGGGTGAGGAAAATGGAAAGGTTTGGACTAGCCTCTCTAGCTGTGGTTTGCAATCTCACGTAAAGATTGGAATCAGCACTGGGTGCTTTAGAAACTACTGATGCCTGGATCCCACCCTTAAAGGTTTTTATTTAATTGTCCTGGAGTATGATCTGGACATTGGGACTATTAAAGTCTCCCCCTAGGTGATTCTGGTATGCAGCTAAGATCTCTGGGGAGTAAATGGTGGCACCGAAAAGAGGAGTAAAAAGGCTTTGAGTGCCATTGAAAGGCCAGTATGACAAGAAAGTCAGTAGGAGGGGTATGTTAGGCATTTAAAGAAGATACAGATTGTGGAAAGCAAATACCAAGATACAGGGAAGTGAGAAGAATCCATATGAGGCTCTGGGGTGAACTGCTTCCTTCAAGAGGTGAAGGCATCACAGCATAAAGGTGAAGTCTTTGTGACTGATGCCACACAAAGGATACAAGCTAGATGTGCTGCTCATAGCGATGAGATGACAGAGAGTTGTAACTAGGAAAGTATGTCATCATGGGAGATAGAGAATAGATAACGGCATGAGATTGTTCATCTCCTGGTTTGGGACTGTGAAATTCTACATCCCTCACTCAGTTTGCAGTAATAAGCTGAACAGGGTGCATTCCCACACTGGCTACCCAATCCTCCACCAGGTCCTGGTGTCTAAGCTTATCTGGTGTCTATGTGGTATCTGATATTAAGAATAAAAAGATAGAAAAAATTAGTTTGGTTTCAATACTTTCCTTCTATTATTCCTAGGCATATGTTCTCTACACTGAAAATTAGGTCCTCTTACTGGTACTTCATATTCTATGTTTTAATGAGAGACTGTCCAGTCCTGGTAACAAGAATAAAACTAGTGAAATAGCTGGCCATCAAAATGCAATCAAATTGCAATCAAAATGCAATCAAATCCTTTTGATAAGCAGATTGATGGTAGGGATTAATCTTTCAAAGGCTTACAGTCTTTGACCTAAAACTTTCAGTAATTACAGTCAATTCTGAAGCCTAAATTTAAATTCAGAAAAGCCAACATGTATGTATGTGTGTGTGTGTATATATAGAAAGATAGATATAGATATATACATATATATATAGATAGATATATACACACATATATACATGGCACTTTCATGGTCAAAAATTGCCCAACAGTATTATTTATATATTTATGAAAATACTGTTTTTTACAAAATTATTTTATTATAAATTTTATTGTAAAATAATAATTTATTTTATAAAATAAAACATTATAAAATAATAATTTTATTTATTATAAAATAATAATTTTAAGTGAGGAAGACAGGATTCAAAATGGAGGCTCATTTGGGAACATATATGTATGAGAATAAGTGTTATTAAGCTATAAAGAATGATGAAAAAGAATAATATCAATTGCATAAAAACATGTAAAGGACTGAGTGGCAAAGAATCAAAATATTAATGAAGGACTGTCTTGGGATCATGAGTTAATGGATGATTTTTTTTATCTTGTTCTTTTCCTCTATTTCCCAATTACCTACTGGGAACATCATAATTTTTTTTAAGATTGATTGACGTATTTATTTTAGAGAGAGAGAGAGCAAGTGGGGAGAGGGTCAGAGGGAGAGGAAGAGAGACTCCCAAGCAGACTCCGCTGAGCACAGAGCCTGACTTGGGGCTCAGTCCCACAACCCTGAGATCATGACCTGAGAAGAACTCAAGAGTGGGACGCTTCACTGACCAAGCCACACAGGCACACCCCACATTATTATTTTTATAACAGCGCAAAAAGATCGTCTTAAAAACAGAATCTAAGGTCGGCACGCCACAGTGCATACCCTGACCCGTAGCTTGTGTTTCTCTCCTGTCTTCTAGGTGAGCCCGAGCCTCTGGAGCAGCAGAGGCAGCAGATCATTCATGAGGAAAGCACGGAATTATTCTCCTACAAAGGCAATGATGTAGAGTATTTCATATCTTCTAGTTCCCCATCTGGTTTATACCAGTTGGAGCTGCTTTCAACAGAGAAAGACACGCATTTCAAAGTCTATGCCACCACAACCCCGGAGTCTGATCAGCCCTACCCCGAATTACCTTATGATCCAAGGGTGGATGTGACCTCCCTGGGACGCACCACAGTCACTCTGGCCTGGAAACCGAGCCCCACAGCCTCCTTGCTGAAACAACCCATTCAGTACTGTGTGGTCATCAACAAGGAGCACAATTTCAAAAGTCTCTGTGCGGTAGAAGCCAAACTGAGTGCAGACGATGCTTTTATGATGGCTCCAAAACCCGGTCTGGACTTCAGCCCCTTTGACTTTGCCCATTTTGGGTTTCCTTCAGAGAATCTGGGTAAAGAACGCAGCTTCCTAGCAAAGCCTGCTCCAAAACTGGGACGGCATGTGTACTGGAGGCCCAAGGTCGACATTCAGAAAATCTGTATCGGGAACAAGAACATCTTCACCGTCTCAGATCTGAAGCCCGACACGCAGTACTACTTCGATGTCTTCGTGGCCAACAGCAACAGCAACACGAGTACAGCATACGTGGGCACCTTCGCCAGGACCAAGGAGGAAGCGAAACAGAAGACGGTTGAGCTAAAAGACGGGAAAGTGTCGGATGTATTCGTCAAACGGAAGGGAGCGAAGTTTTTACGCTTTGCACCTGTCTCTTCTCACCAAAAAGTCACTTTCTTTATTCACTCCTGTCTGGACGCTATTCAGATCCAAGTGAGAAGGGATGGGAAACTTCTCTTGTCTCAGAATGTGGAAGGCATTCGGCAGTTTCAGCTTCGAGGAAAGCCCAAAGCGAAATATGTCATCCGACTGAAAGGACACAAGAAAGGGGCGTCAATGTTGAAGATCCTGGCCACCACGAGGCCGAGCAAGCAGCCGTTCCCCTCTCTTCCTGAAGACACGAGAATCAAAGCCTTCGACAAGCTCCGCACCTGCTCCTCGGCTACCGTGGCATGGCTGGGCACTCAGGAGAGGAACAAGTTCTGCATCTACAAAAAGGAAGTGGACGATAGCTACAATGAAGACCAGAAGAGAAGAGAGCAAAACCAATGCCTAGGACCAGACACGAGGAAGAAATCGGAAAAAGTCCTCTGTAAATATTTCCACAGTCAAAACCTACAGAAAGCAGTGACCACGGAAACAATTAAGGGGCTTCTGCCCGGAAAGTCTTACCTGCTGGATGTGTATGTCATAGGACACGGGGGCCACTCGGTGAAGTACCAGAGTAAAGTCGTGAAAACCAGGAAGTTCTGTTAGTTACCTTGTATGGCGAGATGCTATTACATAGACCTGCAGGAGAGACATGGAATCACTTTAAGTATAAACTGACTACTCCCACAGCTGAGTGAAGTGACGACCAGTCCTTGGACTGTGGACGGAAGGATATCAACTTGTGTATATTGGTGTTTATAGGAGTAACTGTTGAGGAGTGTTGTTCTAGTGTGCCTCAGTGGTACCTAGTGTGTCTGCTGCCCGTTGCTGTCAGAGAGGGCATCTGGAAGGAACTGACATCCCTTGCTTTGACCACTGCATGAACTGCTTCTAAATTATTTTATTACCTGAAAATTTAAAATATGCCATTCATCGCACACATCCACAAATGCAAATCATTCCTCTCTATAGATGCTAGGATATATATAAATTATTTTATAAAGTCTTGTTTTAAATGTCAGTGTTTCTATGATTGTAAACTATTAAATTCTTTTCCTGTTAAAGTACAGATCTAATCTAAGTATATAATTAAGTGGACGGCCCTCTAGTCAATTATATTGCTATTGTAAATTCTTATCTGTTGAGTAAAATGTTTAAATACTGTATGTATCTCATGTACAAAGTTGACATACATTATATTCATGTACATAAAATTAAAGATATTAGATTATATACTGTTCATTTTCCCAAGCAGCTACCATGGTGAATTCAATTTCTATTCTGTTCAAAAACTGCGCCTTTATATAATTTGGCACCAGAATCAACCTTCGTTGTAATAGTTAAGATAGCATGCTGCATCTCTCCAAAGTTACTGTGGCATTAGAGATACAGTTTGCTTTCGGACACTGATTTGGAGCCAGGTGTCATGATTGCTGAGAGAGTTCCAACAGACTTGTCTTAAAAGAATAAGCAAAAAAAAAAAAAAAAGAATAGACAAAGTCAAACACTGTAGCTCAACGAGGATTTAACAGATCATTCTCAACAGCCTAAAATATATTACATTTATTTTAAAAATAAGCATCTATTTTAAGTACAAAATTGGGATATCCCAAGTATTTTCCATCTGCTTGAATATTAGCAAGATAATGATTTTAATGTCTATCTGAAGTGATCTAGCAACCACCAGTTAGGACTTTATTTGGTAATGAGGAGACAACAGAAGCTACTGTTTTGATAACATTAACAGTCCAATACTTTGATTTTTTCACGAATTTTTAGAAAGTAATTTCAGCATAATTAAAATTTAGGCAAATAATAACGGAAACCATTTAGCAAAGACAGCACCAAAAGCACCTTTAGATCATTTCATTCTCCACGGTTCTATACATGAGCTGTCATGAGAACATTAGATCAGGATTCAGAAGAGTGTAGAATTTGTGGTCACGTGAGCTATATAACTTTAGCAGATCTGTTAACTCCCACTGTCCCTCTTGCCCATCTATAAATTGGGTGGTGACAGATTTGGGTAAGATGAGATTAGAAGATACTTGCTATTATTATAAGACATTGTCTTTTGTAGAATCTTATGATTCTGAAATTATAAAGTGCTCCTGCAGCTACAGGTAGGGATAGATGCAACCTCTTGACCTCTCCACTGTCCCCCACGTACTGGCACCAGCCTCCATGTGGCAGGCATGTGTCAATAGCATTCCTCTGGCAGGGAGGATCGCTGTGGCTGAGGTAGTGTACATGGTGGCCATTTTGAAAGGTCCTCTGATAATCTGAGGATAAAACATGTCCCCTAAAAATCCATCATCCAACTCCTCTGGGTTATGATATCAAAAGAAAATTGATCACATCCATATAAAACAGTAACAGTACCCGAAAGAATGTTAAAAAAGGAAAAAAAAAAAAAAAGACACGTGCCTAGTGGCCATGTAGCCAATCAACCTGGAAGGAGAACTTAAAATTGACAACATTCCAGAGATGCTACATCCTAAGCTATAAATGGGGTGCATTTGAAAGGAGAACTGACTTTCTCCTGTTACTCGCAAATATGTTTTTATAGAGCAGTGTGCTAAATGGAACGACAGAGGATCAAAGAGTTATTGCAGCTTCTGAAGAGGATGGACTTACTCTCAGATATTGCTTAATGCCTAGGGACCCCTGGGAACCCAGCCAAGTCAATTTAACCAAGCTCTTACCTTTCAGCCCGCTGTGATGGTGGTTTCTATGTAGTCTGGATAAATTTGAGAATTCTCTCATGGCCCCAGTGAAATTTGCCTTTTAGAACTTACAGGAAAATTAAATACACACTGTGAAACTTCTGTCACTCGTAAAGAAAGGGAAAAACCTATTAAAAATAAAGATCTCATTTACTAATGTGTTAGATTTTTAGGAGCACTCAGGTGAACTGGAGACAAGAAAGAGAAACTTGTTCTTAATTAACAAAGAAACAGAAAGTTGCTAATATGGAAGCACCACCTTGTGTTTGTTAAAATCCTAGGATAGCTGTTTTGAGAACAGAGCGTTTAGTATCCCAAGGATAGCCACAGGATCATGGAGGAAAGAAAATCTTTGAGGACATTTAGTTCAAGGTCACAATCTTTATTTTTCAGGTGCAAAAGAAACTGAAGACCAGAGAAATAAAAATAAAGTTCTCATAGTAGAAACAGATAAGGAGTAGAATTGCCCAGATTCCAAAATACTTACCAGGATATAAATCACTAATTCTTGGCAGGGGGGCGGAGTCACTTGTGGGTCACTTTCCTAAAGGAAATAAATTTTTTTGTCTTATTTATTATTGCAAACCAACTTACTCTTAAAGGCCATTTCAGATTTTCTTAAGAAAGGATGCATAACCTATAACTGAGAACTTGAAACTTGTAAGAAAAAAAAATTATGTTTAGTTATTTTCAAAAACACAGAATGCTTTAGGTTTTCATGCACACACAAACCTGGGGCTTTAAGATCATTAATCAATTGTAATGATAAGCCCTGTAGTTTTTAAATCTAAAACTATCCAGAATCTATAAAAAAAATTATAGCAGATGATTTTATTGGTTAAATTACTTCACAGTCAATGTCTGGATTAATTTTTTAAATGTGCAGGCATTAAAGAGTATGTGCTGGAAAGGATATATCCATTTCTTATTTTCGTTAGAGTACCATTGAGAAAGTTATGATTTTATTATCTCAGAAAGCCAAATGAGGTAACTTCAATTAAAAAAAAATCACTTAACCAGGTGGTGGGTACTAGAGAGGGCACGGATTGCATGGAGCACTGGGTGTGGTGCAAAAACAATGAATACTGTTACGCTGAAAAGAAATAAAAATTAAAAAAAATCACTTAGGTGAACTTTACAGTTTGAAATCAGCTTAATGGTTCTTAATAGATTGGGAGGTCCAGGTGCATTCAACGAACACACACACACACACACACACACACACACACACACACACACTTAGTTTTGTATATGATTTAATGGTTTGGTGCACCTGAAACCATTCAGGATCTCTTCCAATACTTTACCAACCCCTCTTAGAGATCATCTATTTCTACTACTTAATTTTACAGATGAAGAAATTGAGGCCCAACAAGACTAGAAACCAGATTCCTATACTCCCATTTTAACGTTCACCCTGAACTTCATTTTAAGTATTTCTTTACTCCAGAAAGCATGCAGTGACTCACCCAGAGTATCCTTCTATGTCTTTCTTCTGTAGCTGGTTTCAAAGCAAAACAAAACAAGTTAGCATCTAACTTGAAAAACAAGGTCATTTGGAGCATCTCCAACCACTTCCTTCCCCACTCTGATATGGTGTGATAGAGATAAAATCTTCTGGGAACTTGACTTCAGATTTTCTCACCGGCACCAGGAGAAGTGACCAAGGCTAGACTTCAGCTGTCCTCTGTTTGTAGCTGTCCACAGGACCTGGGAGGCATCAGGGCACACTCATCATTGTGTTTTTTCCCAGAGCATTTTAGCCAGAAAAATAGACAGCGGTTTGAGATTTAGACCTTTTTGTCACTTTGAAGGTGGAAAGTGGGAGAGAGGAGGGCAGGGAGATGAAATGGAGCATGGAGAAAAGTAGGGTTTTTTCTGATTTCTTTCTCTAAGGGGCCTGAGAGAACAAGGGCAGTGAGAGATCTCCTATAGCTTAACTTTATTAAGATTTTAGATTCTGTTTTTTATATGCAAAATTACCCTGGAAAATCTGACCTAATCACCATCCACTCTATTAAAATTGTATCCGCTGATTGATATTCTCATTTCCTAGGGAGGATCGATCATGTTATTTGGATAAGATTTTCAGTTCGGTTCATTCACATTCCTCCTTCTCAATCTTTGAGAAACAAATTTAGTAATCAAAATTTAGAGATAAAGTTACTTAGAATGGCTTTTCATATCCACCCTTATACCTCTCTCAAAGATATTTTTAAATACGTTTTCAAAGTAAAATAAATAGAAGGCTATTGATTGCCATCACAGGCAAATAATTAGCTCCAGGATTGAGTGCATGGCCTTAGGCGCAGTTATATTGCCATCTTGTCATTATTCAGATACTACTGAAGATATGGCATCAGCTACCCCATGAGTGTTAGAGGGGGAGGAAAGTAGTTCGAGGAGGAACATTAAAAAAGAGAAACCAGGATGAATGAAACTCATCATCCCATTGGGCTACCAGGGAGAACTTTCAGGTAAGTATAAGGTTTTCTTGAAACCTGTCAGAAATGTAAAGTTTAGAGACTTCAAGCTGAGGACACATCAAGTACCCTCCCAGGATACAGACGTGTCCCAAGACATTAGAATTTGAAATAATATCTGAATTGAGACAAAGATGTAATACCGAGAAGTGGGAGCACATCAGTTTTCAGTATGGGTGATGAGATCCAGACAGAAGAGTCTGGAAAGAAATAATCATCTTATAATAAAAGAGGTGATGAATGTGTTGCTATGTTTTTGAGTCCGAAATTATTGTCAGAAACTGAGTTTTAATCAGCAATTTCTAAACGTTTAGGTTCTCTCTCTTCTTGTATAAATACCTGCCAATATTAATGTTGCCATAATTTGGAAATAAGCAAATCTCTCTATTTCTTGTCTATAGTTAGCTCTTGGTATAATCCTTCCAACTTATGTAAATAAGGCAGCACAGCATAATATACAAAAGTTTTTAAATCAATTTTTTAAAGATTTTTAGTTATTTTAGAGAGAGAGAGAGAGAGAGAGAGAGCATGCAAGTGGGGGGAGGGGCAGAGGGAGAGAGAGAATCCTCAAGCAGACTTTACTGAGCTCAGAGCCCTGTGCGGGGCTCGATCCCACAAACCTGAGATCATAGACCTGAGCCAAAACCACAAGTCAGACGCTTAACCGACTGAGACACCCAGGTACCCCCCTATGCAGCTGTTTTAGGATCTACTTGACAAAACCCCAAATGTTCATCCTTAGTGATAACTCTGAAAGGTTTTTATTTCTGAGAAAAACTGTTTATGCAACAAACAGAACCAAGTGCATTAATACACAGTGGGGTTAGGAGTTAGGCTGTTCAGTCTCATCCCTTCCTATTAAGTGAATTCAGACCTATTAAATAAGATTAATGTAATAGCTGCTTTTACCATTCAGGCTGGAAATGTTCCACATAGCTAGAACAAGAGCCGTTTTTAGAAGCAGCATGTTACCCTCAAGAGCCACAGAAAAATCACATAGTCCTCTGTGTTTGTCTGACCCGTTTCATGCTCATCTGCGGAT